GACAACAAAGTGAGACCTTGTTTCTAAAAAAATAAAAAAATTATTCAGGCATGATGGCACGCACCTGTAGTCCCAGCTACTTGGGAGGCTGATGTGGAAAGGTCTCCTGAGCCCAGGACGTTGAGGTTGTGGTGAGCCATTTTGGTGCCACTGCACTCCGGCCTGGACTCTGACTCAAAACAAAACAACAATAGATGGAAGTTTCTGCAATAGGAAGCGTCAAATCAGCTCTCTGAGCTGCAGAGGGATTGGGCTACACACAAAGCACATGGGCTCCCTCGTGCCACCCTGACCAACACTGTCAGGGTGTCAGACCCTTCCTTTTCTATAAGTGGCACGATCCAATCACAGCAGGGCTGGCCTCATGGGCAGCAGAAACTCAGAAGGACCCTGTGTTTGCTTTAATGCTCTGTTCTTGCCACTTGTAAAATCTTATTAGTTTTTTTTTTCTTTTTCTTTTTGAGTCTCACTCTGTTGCCCAGGCTGGAGTGCAGTGGCACGCTCACGGCCATTGCAGCCTCCACCTGCTGGGCTCAGGCAATCCTGCCTCAGCCTTCCAAGTAGCCGAAACCACAGGTGCATGCTACCACACCTGGCTAATTTTTTGATTTATTGTAGAGAAGAGGTCTCGCTAAGTTGCCCAGGCTGATCTCGAACCCCTGGGCTTAGGCAATCCTCCTGCCTCAACCCCCGACATGCTGGAATGATAGGCGTGAGCCAATAATTTTTTAAACAAGGAGCCCCACATTTTCATTTTACACCAGGTCCCACAGATCACATACCCACTTCTGTAGCACAGAATCCTGGCTACTTGCCATGGATACTTACACGGCTCCTCTCTGGGCCTCTGTCTTCCCCATCTGTGAAAAGGGTCCAATAAAAAAAGGACTTTGACTTTGATCTTTGGCTTTTTATACTCTCAGATTCATGAGCTCTGCACAGCTGGCCCGGCTCTGGAGGTGGGACAGGCAAGAATGTGAGAATTGCCACCTGATGGATGAAGCCAGGCCTAGACTGCATGTCTCACCTGCATGGTGACAAGAATACTTGGTACAGCTGGGAGGAGGAGAGGGAGGCCTGAGGAGCATGTGTCCAGCAGATGGAAGCTGCATTAGGAATGACTGATGGGAAATGTGTGTGGCCCTGCCAGATGGTGATGAAAACCATGCCTTGGTTGCCTCCTCAACTCTAAGACTCGACTGACATGGTTGAATGTCTATCCATGTTAGACAGAAGAGTCAAGATCCTGCAGAATAAAGAGTATTGTCCTGGCTGGATGTGGTGGCTCAGGCCTGTAATCCCTTTGGGATCGCTTGCACCCAGGAGTTTGAGACCAGCCTGGGCAACAAAGTGAGACCCTGCCTCTATTAAAAAAATTACAAAAAGCCGGGCTCGGTGGCTCAGCCTGTAATCCCGTGCCTTTGGGAGGCTGAGGTGAGTGGATTGCCTGAGCCCACGGGTTCGAGACCCGCCTGGGCAGCGAGACCTCATCTCTACAATAAATCAAAAAATCAGCCGGGCGTGGTAGCGCACGCCTGTAGTTCCAGCTACTCGGAAGGCTGAGGCGGAAGGATCGCCGGAGCCCAGCAGGTCGAGGCTGCGGTGGCCGGGAGCGGCCACTGCACTCCAGTCTGGGCGACAGAGTGAGACTCCAACTCAAAAAAAAAAAAAAAAAATTACAAAAAATTAAAAAAAATATTGTCCTAGAGTTCTACAATCCTAAAACCATAAAAATTTTCGGTTCAGAGTGAATTCTCAAAATGTGACTCTACGACTGCCTGGTTCTGTCATCTACTTTGTGGTTGAACAAGGGAGGGAAAGAGCGTTTACAGGATGTCTGTGTTGTGCCAGGCACAGTACTTGGCTCTTCGCAAATGTTGCATCATTTCTTCATCTTACAATCCTGGGGAGGGAGTTTTCATCCTCAATTTCCAGGCTCAGAGAAGTAAAGTGACTAGGCCCAAGTCACACGACTGGCTTGTGACGGACCCAGGATTTCAACCCTTTTCTGTGAATTCCTAAACGGACTCTTTGCTCTAGCCTCTGTGATGCTGTGAGATTTTAACGCCCTCACTCTAGGTGCCAGGATTCCCAGAGGACGGAGTGGGCAGGATGAGGATGGTCTGGCTGGGTGGGTGGGGAGGGACCTGGCGCCCGCCCTGACCTTGGGTGTCTGGCTATGCGTGACCACGAGGTGGCGCTGCGGGCTGGAATCCTCCGCACCTGGCCAGAGGGGTGCGAAGGTGCCAGGTTCCGCGAGGGGTGCAGCACTGCGGGGTCTTCGGCTCTCCCTGAGGCACGCGGGAGGCCCTGTTTTGCAGCTCAGGGCAGAGGTGACCCGCCCAGAACTCACTCCTGCAGAAGCCCCTGCGCCCCTTCTCAACCTTGCCTCACTTTCTCCCTACATTTAAGGCCCCTGTGTCTCATGGCCCTCACCCAAGGATCCCTTCCACAAGCAGGGCTTTGGGAGGATCCAGACCCACTGGTGGAAGCACCATGACCCCCACCTGCATTCCAAGGCTCTCCTGTCTCAGAAAACATGGGAGGGGTGGAGAACACAGAGGAGAACTATGGGCCCTGGGGTGTCACCCTGACCCTCCCACCCCATGCCTCAGCCCTTTCCGCTGACCAGTGGGTGCCGACCTTGGGCTCAGGGCCTCTGGTTGGCCCTTCTCCTGGGGAGGCCTGATTTACAAGATGGCAGGCTCCCCACCGATGTCCATGGCCTGAATGTTCAACGCTCTGTGCCACTGACCCCTCATCCAGGATCTCGCCCAGGGGCGAGGCCCACTTGTCCAGGTTGTTCCTCGCGGCTGTGTGGATAAGCCTCCCCCAGGGCACCTTCCTACCTCCCCCCACAGGGCTCACAGTGCTGTTCTGACAGTCGAGTGTCATGTGTCCTTCCCTCTCCCATCCCAGGAGGAATGCAAGTCCCCCTAGGGCAGAGACTGGGTAGCCTCGCCTTCAGGTCCAGTGCAGGGCCTGGCAGAGAGTAGGTGTCAGGAAGAGCTTGCTGGTGGTGGTGATGGTAAGGAGTCTTCCTGTAGATTTTGGCCAGTTGGAACAACATGGTGACAGCTGCCACCCAAACGAGGTGGAAGCGAGCTCCCAGCCACCGGAAGCATGCCAACAGGAGTTAGGGCACCTAGGCAGTTGAAAGATCAACAAGGTTTGGACAAAATGCCACTGGGGGTAGGGGGAGCTCAAAGGACACTTCTGAGGTTAGGAAGGAAGTCCATTGGACAGGAAGGAGGTTGAGGCAGGGATGGGAGCAAGGTCCCACAGTAACCTCTGAGCAAGGCCGGGGCTCAGGCCTGCCAGGGCCTGGCCAACTCACAGCTGCGCTCAGCTCAAAGGACGGTGGGTGGAGCTGGGGTGGCAGGGAAGGGGGGTAGGGGGAGGTGCAGGCTGTGAGGAAAGGTCCAGTGCACCTGAATAACCACCTTCCTCATGTCACCTACTCCCCAGATACCGGGAGATTATTGGGCTTTTCGGGGAGAACGAGCTGCCTGGGCAGGGCCTAACCTGTTCATTCTTGTGCCCCCAGAGCTCAACCCAGGGATTGTCAGTGGACGCTGGTTACATGAAACACCAGAAAGAATTCTTTATAGTGTTTATTAAACCGAGGACTAGACAGGTGCTGGGCTGGTGGGCAAGACACAGCTGTCCCTGCCCTGTGGGCGTCTCTGGGGGACCAGCCCCTGATGCCCATGTGGCCACCGACGGCTGGCTTCCACCCAACACCCCCAGCACAGGCCCAGGACAGTATTACAAAAGTGAACCAATGCGACCCTTTTCTTCTTTTACAAATGATATGTTTCCATCCCCTGCCAGCAGGGGTGGGGGCGGGGCTTAAAAGTGACAGTCCATTAAAAAGGCAACCACTTTTATAGAATGAAGAGAAAAGAGCCCAGGGCTGGGAAGATGAGATGCTGCCCTGGGGTGGAGCACAAACATGGATGGGGGAGACCCTGCCTACTCCCGCATGTTCCTGGGGGGGGGGAGAGATGGGCTGCTGGCCTCAGGGCCAGGGGGACTGAACCCAGAGGGCGCTCGGAGCCCCACAGCCAGATGGGATTCCCACACTGCATCAGCTCCTCGGGGGAAGCCACGTCTCAGGGGAAAGGGGTTGTGTTTCCAGTCTGGACACTGGGGAACCCCACCCCGGGGTGTGCAACTGGCAGGGCTGGGATGACGTGCCCTCGGCTCTGAAAGGCAAAATGGCAGCCTGTGGCACACTGCTGGTCACTGAGCCCAGAGACCCACTTCTGAGGTCCTTGCCTGTCCTGCACCCCTGGGGATGGCAGGGAAAGGCACAGACCACAGCAAGGGGGCCCAGGAAGGGAGGAGAAGGGGCTTGTGAAAGAAGTCAGGAAGGTGCAAAGGGCCCAGCCTGAGAGGCAGAAGGCCGGGTTCCAGTTGTGCTCCTGCCCCTGCAGGAACTCAGGTTGGCATCTCTCCTCTACTAGGCCTCAGTTTCCCCATTTGGCACATGAGGAGTGTGGACTCTTCTCTCCAGTTCCTTCTATTATTAGGGTTCTACTCAGGGTTCCAGGGGGAGAGAAAAGGATGAAGTGGGCCTCACGGGCCCACAGCAAAGAGCTATGTCATAAAAAAAAAACAAAACTCATGCCTGAGGACTGGACTGTGGGCCCAAGGGGACACTCAGCCCAGTGGACCTGAACTCTGTCCTGCAGCAGTGGCTCCCAGCCACCCTCCTCCTGTCAGGTCAGGTCGGCACAAGGGAAGGCACTTGGGGGCAAGGGGGAAGGGGAGTGAGAAGGGACCAGAGTGGGTTTGGCATCGAAGTCCCTCTGCTCACGTTCTGGGGGATGACACCGACAAAGAGGCAAGGCTTTGCTCCCAGGCCCACAGCCCCTCTCCGTCCATGGCTCCCGTGGTGATGCCGCCACGTGGGCCTACAGGTGCCCCCCGGCACTGGCACGTTAAAGCATAAGTGACTCAGGACCTGAGCAAGCCCGGGGTGGACATCTGTGAGGGGCCCCGGGCCACGACATTCGTCACAGGACGTCAGAGCCCCCGGCAGCAGATTCCCGGGTGTCTACGCAGCGCAGAGCCACCTTGGGGCTGGAGCCAGGCTGCCGGGGGTAGGCGCCCTCCCGTACCAGGCGCCGGCACCGCACCCCCTGGCCCACGCTGACGCGCTGCAGCGCCGGGAGGTGGAGAAGCAGCATCTCGGGCAGGGGGACCAGGCCTGTGCCCGAAAGGTCCAGTTCCTGCAGCGAGCCCAGGCCTGAGAACGCCTCGGCACCTGCCCACTTGAGTTTGGGGTTGCCCGACAGGTCCAGGACCTGCAGACCTGGCAGCTCACGGAAGCCGTAGGGTGCCAGCTGGGGGAGCTTCTGCAGGCTGGCCAGCGACAGGTGTGTTAGGCCTGTCAGCCCTGCGAAGGCGCCCGGGCCGATGGCAGCCAGAGGGTTGCCATCCAGGCTCAGGTAGCGCAGGGGCAAGTCTCGGAGATCAGGCACGGCGCGGAGCTGGTTCCAGGCCAGGTTCAGGCTCTGGATGGTGGGCGTGGGCTGGCCAGCCCGCGCGGGGTGGGGCGTGAGGCGGTGGAGGAGGTTGTGGGAGAGATCCACGTGCAGCGCCCGGCCCTGGCTGTGGGTGGTGAAGGCGGATGCCGAGACCTCCCGCAGCCGGTTGTGGCTGAGGTCCACGTCGCTCAGGGGCGAGCTGGTGAAGCTCTCGGCCGGCAGGGCTGCCAGCCCGTTGTGACTGAGGTCCAGCGACTCCAGGTAGCGCAGGCGAGAGAAGGCGGTGGGCGAGATGCTGGTGAGCCGGTTGTGGCTGAGGTCCAGGCCAGCCAGTGTGGTGTAGCCTGGCCCTGCCAGCGCCGACTCGTTCACTGTCTCCAGCCGGTTGGAGGACAGGTCCAGGTGGGCCGTGTCCAGAGGGATGGGCACGGGCACGATGTGCGGGCCCAGGCCGCTGCAGTCCACGCGGGTCAGGCTGAAGCTGTCGAAGAGGCCGAAGGTCTCCACCTCACACTGGCACCCGGGGAAGCACGGCCGCGTCGTCTGGGCTCTGCTCACGGCCAGCAGCAGCAGCAGCAGGGGCCACGGCATGGTGAGGTCTGGAGGGAGAGCCGCCGGTGAGGCGTGGATGTGCCAGAAGGTCCTGACCCCACCCCGTAGGACATGAGCCCATGTGCCTGAACACAGATGAAAGTTGCCAGAGTCCCTGTCCTCCTGGAATGCTTCTTGGAAGATCCCTCCTAATACCTGGTTCCCATTCCTCTCTGGCCTCAGTCTCCCCATCTGTATGATAAAGGGGCTTAGGACAGATTGGTGGATTTTAAACTGGAAGCGGCAGACCCTTTTCTTAAATCAGACCAGTGCTGAAGACGGGCCTGCTCTGGCTGAAGTGAGGGATCCTGGAGCCCACCATGCTTGCTCTCCACCCCTGCAGCAATGTGCTGCAGAGTCAGCTTGGAACCCCCTGGACTAGATGATTTCTGGGGCTGGCCTCTCCCGCTTTGATGGCCTAGGGTCCCCACCAGGTCCACAAGGGAGGGGTTCTCATGCAGGGCAGCGGGGCTGGGGTGCTCCCTCCTCCTTAGCTGGGGGCTGTGCTAGCTAGGGCATGGCCTCACCTAATCCTCGCAACCATGCTACAAGGCAGAAAGTCCTTTTGCCACTTCACCAGGAGGGAGGGCGGGGCCTAATTAAGAAATGTATAGCCAGGAGCTGAGAGGAGCAACCTGCTGGGTGCACGCAGAGGAAGCACCGCCTGCTGCTGTGCCGCGGTGGAGCCAGGCCTGAGACCCACTTGGCCTTCCTGACCAGGGTCCCCTCCCTGCAGTGGGGCCTGCAGTGTACCACCTCACCCCCTCCTCCCACTCACCCTGTCCCTCAGCCTGTCCTCCAGAGGCAGGATCCTCCCTTCCAACTGGGGACCCTGTGTCTAGACTCCCCAGTGGGTCTTCGGGACACCCAAGTCCCTTGCCCCCATGACCTGCCCCTCCCCTCAGCTGAAATGGCTATTGCATCTCTTTGGCCCTTCCTTCAGCCTTGGGCAGGCAGCTGGGCTGGCTCCGCAGCTCTCCAGATGAAGAAACAGGCTCAGAGAGCAAAGGGGCCTACCCAATCCAGTAAAAGGCAGGGCAGGACTAGAATCCAGGCCCACTCCATGGTGGCTCCTCTATTCACATCTGCTGCCTCGCAGGCATGGCAGGGTGGCTGGCAGGGAGGTGGGGCCCAGGAGGGCCTTTTCCCACTGACACATGCTATGACGCCAGCTGTTCCCCCACCAGGGCCTCAGTTTCCCTCTCTGTACAATCATAATGGTAACAGCCACAGATGCCAGGCACTGTTGTATATGCTGTCACATCTAATGGCCACACCCACTTCAAAACTGCACATTCAGAGCTTGTGTTTCTGTCCACCGCAGCTCCTGGGACAGTGGCACTCAGTGGTGCTAGCATGAGGATGAAGGGCTGAGAAGTGAGAGCTTCTAGCTGGACCTCTGGACAGTCTGTGGCTCTCCCTCCCCCGCACAGCTGCCTCAGCCTGGGAGACTCCAGAAGGCACTGAAACTCCTTCTGGCAGGGCTCTTCACCTGGGTGGCCCTGCTCTGCGCCTCCACCCTTCCTTTCCCTCTGGCCTTTGGGGAAGGGATCCTGGTCTGCCCACCTTCCAGACTGGGGGGGCGGTGGGGGTGAGCAGGACAGCATTATCAGCCCTACATGCAACATTAGAAGGCTAGCCGCTTGATCTGTACTCTGGCTCTGCCGAGGGGGGGCGGGTGGGAGGATGGAGAGGGGAGGGAGATTTGGGGCCTCCTCTCCCCTGCTCTCTCAATGTGGGCCCCTCCTCTCCCACCCCTTTCTTTTGTAGAGGCCAATTTGAGGATTAAACCCGGCCCAGGTGCATCCTGGGCTTGGTCCCAGCTGAGGCGGGACAAAGTGTTCCAATGTCTGGAAGCAAAAGGAAAATATGAAGTTGCTTCAGGCCCCCTTTGTTCCCCGGGGTGAGCTCCTCACCGCAGGGCTCGTTACCACCAAGGCCCCACCTCCCCTGCTAAGCTGATCTGCCCATACCCACCCTTCCTGGGGTTTAAACAAACACTGTAGAGGTCCCAAGATTGCCCTGTGCTTCCCAGAGGTGATTATACAAGGGGTCTGTGAGGTGCCAAGCGGCCTCTCACGAGCTCCTGCTTATGCAACCCGCAGCCCAAGCACGGCCCCAGTGCTGCCCCGCCGAGGGGGCCTCTGGCTGCCCCTCAGGCCTCAGCCTTGTCCTCTGCACCACAGGGTGGCAATCTCCGCCCTGCCCTCCTCATCTAAGTTGACCAGCCCTCCCTGTAATGAGCTGCAAACTGTGACGAGCTGGACACGTGCGCAGGACCCTCACCACGGATGGCCAGTAGATATGGAACAGGGGCAATGGGAGTGACAGCTGATGGAAAGGGGGCAGGATGGATAACCGCATTCACGGATGCGCCCGGACAGGCCCAGGTTCCTTTTCAGCCTTGCACAGTGGACAACTCCCTCGGGGCTCCAGCCCAGCGGGGTCAGTAGTGGCAGTCAGAGCCGGTCCTCACTATGTGCTAGTCTGGACATCCATTCCCTTACTCAGTCCTCATAGTTGCTCCATGAGGCCGGCAGTCTCATCCCCACTCTAGAGTAGAGGAATGCAGGTGGCAGAGCACTTTAGCATGAGCCACATGTGGAACTGGGTACCTGTGGGAAGTTATCGGTAAGTTAAATGGAGAGGACAATCCCTTCCCCAAGGAGTTGCTGTGAGGACTCGAAGTCAAGTGCAGGACACCCTGCACAGCGCCGGGACACCGACTGACGCAGTCAACAGGTAGACGAGGTTCCCACAGAGAATGCAAGGACCCTTCCCCGCCTCCTCACCGTGCTTCACAGGGCAGCCGTGCATGGTGACAAGTCCCAGAGGACAGTCAGGAGCCCTAGGTCTCCCTGCTCTGCTATGGAGTGCTACCACCTTTGGACAAGTCGCCTCCTCTCTCTGAGCCTCAGTTTCTCCAGCCTCACAATAAGAGGTTTAGTCTAGATAATCTAACTCCAGAGTCTCAGGATTTTAAAATTTAACAAAAGCATTTACTAAATCTCTACTAGGTATGTACAAAGAACTGGGCTAGGCCATGAGGGGTGTGTGTGTGCAGGATGAGGGGATGGATACCAGAGCCTTGTCCTCACAGGGCCTACAGATCACCTGTGGAATAGAAGACCGACTTGTAACAAGATCACTAATGCCAGTCTCGGCCTTGGGAGACCCGGACACTGGTCCCAGGCCCGCCACTCTCTGTGCGGCCTGCGTGGTTTCTTTTTTTCTTTGAGCTTTGGCTTTCCTATCTGTGTAACAGTAGTCATTCTGCCTCCCTCTGGGACCCATGCTCTACCCTCTGGTGGAAGGGAGAGGAAGACAGGTGGCTACCAGAGAAGGCCGAGGGAGAAGAGGGATCTCTGGGCCAAGGTACATCACTTTTCCCCAAACCCCGACCTGCAGATAAAAGATACCCACTGATCAGGATACATCACGAACATGCAGAGAGGAAAGGCTTAGAAACTGCATCTCTTGTGGTTTGGGGGCCACACTGTAAGGCCCTCCAGGACAGGGGTCATGAGTTTCACACTGCTGGGCCCGCAGTGACTCTAAGTTTGCTGATGGCTAGCAGGTTCAGGCAGGTCTCCCCACATGATACCCCAGGCTCTGCTATGAGTCACTCTCTAAAACAGCTTTGGTCACATCATTCCCCTTATCAAAAACCTCTCGGGCTCTGCTTTTACTACAGAAACCAAATTCTCCTGGACACGGAGACTTCTGCAAGTTGTCACCACCTTCTTCCTCCCACCCCATCTGGATTGAAGCCCTCTTTAGTAGCCAGGAATGGCCTTCACCTTGACAGCCTCTGAGCAACTCTCGGCCTCTGCTCACACTATTCCATCTTGGAGAATTCCAGGGTTGGGAGCTAGAAGGCCCCTTACAGATCATGGGTGACTGGAGCCCAGGGAGGGGCAATGACGGTAAGTGATGGCTGAGCCGGGCCCAGCATCTGGGACCTGATGCCTACCACTGCTGCCAGCACCGCACGCATCCACCCAGCTAGCCCTGGCCCCGCCGGCAGAACAAAGCCCGTTCTGTCCACGCAGGCTCCCGGGTCACCCTCCCTCCCGGTCTCTCACACCACGGGCCATGGCACGCCTCCTCTGCCTTCAGACAGTTCTCTGCCATTGGTTCCCACCTGTTTCCTGGCTTGACATGAGAGCTGCTGGGCAGTGCCTTGCCTTCTTCACCTGTGTGTCTCATCTCCTCCCTGGGGTCAGAGCCAGGCCTGGTGGGTGGGTGCACAAAGGAAGAGCGGGATGACCAAAGGGCCCAAGGGTTAAGGGTTAACCGCTGGACTCAGACCCTGGTGCGAGTCCAGCTGTGTACCTACTGGCCTTGGGCAAGTCTCAGCCTGGTTAACTCTGAATGTCCCCAGTAGGGATAAGAGCAGTTGTTGAGAGGATTAAAGTAACAGGATGGGAAGCAATGTGCTCACTGTCTGCCAGGTGCCAAGTGCTCCATGCGTGACAATGATGGAGGGGATGATGGTGGGGAGGACTTCCTGAAGGCGATGAGCGTGTGATTCTTCACGCTCCATGTTCCCAATGCCTGCAGGCCTGAGGTCGCTTGTTAACATTTTCCAGTCACTTTGCTGGTGTCCTTCTCTGAGGACATCTCTCGGGTTAGGCGTTCCAGCCTGGGCCCTCCTGGCCCCAACTGCCCGCCCTGGTGCTGCACCACAGCGTCTCTGCTCCACAGAGTTGCCAGCTCCCTCTGCCACACCCTCCCTGACAACCTCAACAGGGAGCCCCTGGCATGGGCCCAGCACCCACCTGAGACAGGCCTTTGCCTCGACCAGCTGCTCCTCAGAGCAGAGCTGCCTCCCACTCCGCTCCCCTCAGCCATGAGCTCACTCGAGCTGACGCCAATGAAATCCCCAGGTGGAAGTTCCACAAATGTCCTGCCCTCCAACCACTTAGTCAGCTCTGGAAACGCAAAGCACAAGGAATCTCAAGGCCAGAATCCCGGAGCCTTGAGGCCGGCTCTTCTAACAGACCCAC